CAACCATCGACTCACAACTAGGGGTGTGTGTGTTTGTCGAGGGTCCCAGCTGCTTGTCAACCATCGACTCGTAACTACGGATGTGTGTGTGTGCGCGCGCGCGCGTGCGTGTTTGTCGAGGGTCCCCTGTTGCATGCCGAGCATTGACTCACAATTAGGGGTGCGTGTGTTTGTCGAGGGTCCCCAGTTGCATGCCGAGCATCGACTCGCAACTAGGGGGTGTGTTTGTCGAGGGTCCCCGGTTGCAAAAATGTTTGTAGTTGTAAAGGTGATTTACTCTTGTAACAATGTTCTGAAGTACCTATTATTATTCAACTCCACCCTCGATATGCGACTGGGGGCTGACTAATATTCTTCTTAGTTGCAACTTCACCCATGATACGCAACTAGGGTCCATTTTAAAATAACATGTTTCGAATTTGCAAACAATGTTCAAATCACGATTGTTTTAATCCACATATATTTTTTTAATACGTGAACATTTTTCTAGTTTTTTTGACCAGTTTTTTATTTTTCCTCTTCTATTGTTTTATTTATTGTTAGACGTCAGTGTACATTTTAAAATTCTCCAGTGAGTATTTTGTAAAAGGTTCACCATATATACGTTAAAAAACATACACAATACATAGAAAATAAGTTCACTGTATATTAGAAGAAGGTCATCATATACTAAATATTTGTTCAATGTGTATTACAATTATGTTCACCGTAATTTTATAATTTGTTCAGTGTGTATTAAAAACAATGTTCACCGTATATCCAAAAACAATCAGTGTGTTTTTTAATATTTTAGCATATATTAGAACTGAAAAAAATACACCTGAAAGAAAAAAGAAAAAAATAGGACATAAAAGAAACAAAAGGAATAAAAAACACAAATCGTTACTACGTACGATCAGCTACAGGCCGTAGAGTGAGCATGCGTGTGATGGTGTGAGGCAAGCTGGGCCTTGCCCATGCGAGCGTTTCTATGGGCACGCTGGTCACACAAAAAAGAAAAGACAAGGCCCAGACGATACAATACCAAAAAAGAAAAACAACAAACAAACAAAAGACTATAAACAGGTGATGATTTCAACTCAGATGTGACATCGCTATGTCACATCTAGATGAGTTTTACAGACCCTTATAAATTTTGTTCCTGAAACACCTTTTTCAAGTTGGAAGGCAATAAAATTGGCAAAGACGGGCTGGGTAAACGGGGTTAATTAGCACAATTCATCACAACGCCAAACGGACTCTAACTCACAAACCTCATAAGAGAATAAACACAACAACTATCCAAAGACATGATCTATGAATTTCCGTATGTTTTTAACATGCCATATGAGTTCATGGTATGTGACATCTTATTCTCGTTTTATTTTTAAGTGTGTTCTTCTATTCTGGGCATTAGCACGCTGAATCTTGTTAGAAATCAATATAAGGAAGAAGTTTATGTTGGTTCACCAATTTTTTTTGGACATTTTGACTCCTATTAATTGTTTAGAAGTGAAACAAATAGACTCTATGCACCCAAATCCTGCAAAATTACTACGAAAATATTTCAGTCAAAAAAGGTACCGCCGAAAATTTAGAATATAATATATGTGTTCATATTCTGGAATTGTAAGAGAAATCAACATTGACCATGTCTTGTTAATGATGTGTACAGGTGGCGTTGAGGTGGCTATACGAGCAGGGCGTGTGCTTCGTGGCGAGGAGCTACAACAATGAGAGATTGAAGCAGAATATGGAGATCTTCGAGTGGGAGTTGAGCGAGGAGGAGAAGGGGATGATCGCCACAATACCGCAGAGGAGAGTGTCTTTGGGGGAGCGGTTCATGTCGCCCGATGGGCCTTACAGATCACTCGAGGAGCTCTGGGACGACGATATATGAATATATGTATCTATTTGTCAATTGCCGCATGCCTGGCTATTTGCAGATATACACTTGTATAGTCCGTAGGTGCATATTTGGTATACTATGGTATGATTGAGATCTTTTGTTGATCCTAACTTGTAATCCAATCATCATATGAGTAAGTAAATAGAGAGCAACACCTCTATAAGCAAGTAAACACATGGTACATAGGATTTACGACAATTATTCCCTTTGTAGGTTGGTATCACAACGTGATCCCTTCCCCCTGTTTTCCAGTCACTCGCAGGGGAACAACCCTTGCTCTCATCGATGGTGTATTTGGTGTGACTGTACCCTCCATCGGTGCTTCTTAGTAGCCAATATGATCATCATCTCCTTGACAAGGGGAAAATGTGTCCCTCTCCCTGGCTCGCATTGTTTCTTTGACTGTGTCGATGGAACCATTCCCATTCTACTGGAAACCATCACTTAGCACACTGACACTGCCGCTCGCACCGTGCCAAACCCAATGTTTTTTTGATGTTACCAAGAGGACCATGCAGTCCTCGTCGCACTACTCTCCTCCATCCTCCATGATGAGTGATATCATCAGGGGTAACTGACGATGTTCAACACCTCCCATGCCGTCTGGGATGTGCTACATACAATGTTCTCCTCATACGCCTACTTCAACAATATAAAGGAGTATGTCGATGCTATGATATCCCTTGGAAGCCCCTCTCTAATGAAGAAGTCATCAGCTACATGCTCACCGGCTAGGGATCAGAGTATACAAGCCCCTTCTTGCTTCAATTACAACATGGTGATCTAGTGAGTATCACCAACTTTTATGCTTATTTCCTGACTGTTGAGGTTTGTCTTAAGTAGCGGGCCTCCATGAGTGAGATCTTCTCTTCCACCAACTCAGCAAACCATCAACGCGATGGGAGCTCCCATGGTGGTTGCGGTGGTCATGGTCACGGTCAGGGGCACGGAGAGCGCGGTTGCAACAACAACGACAATGGAGGTTGCGGCTCACGATCCACACCTACAATTAGAAGTCATCGAACTCTGGTAAGATGTAATGGCAACATGGCTCCTGAAGGGTCCACAACCTGAAGGAGAAGGAGATTCTAGGTCAAATGAAGCTACAGCAGGAGGAAAAAAGGATGACTACACTTGGCCTTAGACCCAAAGCCCACTCTGGCGCTGCAGCTGTAGCCACAGCGTCCTTACCTGGGAGAATATACGCACCCAAATCTAGGATCCAAACAAACAGGCACACTAGCTCCAAGATCCGCCATTAATGAGGAAGGAAGCCACAACATCGAGTGGGGACTTGGAGCACACTTATTCAATATCATTGTCATTGTTGTCGAAGGCACACTGTCAACCGGTTGAGAGCCTCCCGACCAAAAATTTTGTTCAAGAACCCGAGAAGCAATACCTAAACCCGCAACAAATATAGTCCGAACACAAGGCCCCGACAACCCCCACGAGACTCACAGAGGAGAGGATTCGCCAGAGAATGACACCGGAAGGGAGAACATTCGAGGAGTCACCTCTCTCTTCATTTATCAGATCTGATTCATTCACGATTCCACAATTAAGCCTGAGGTCTTGAGTCTCAAACGATCCACAAAAATGCAAATTCAGTTTAGTGAAAAGGGCAACTTGAACTTTTTCACGAAGTTGCCCCTTTATTATGCTAGTGACCGTGTACCTGCACTCAAGTCCGCTTTGAAAGTAATATTATTTTCAAGAATATCCACAATGAAACTTAGACTCAATATTAATTGTGTTTAATGCAATGAATGTCGCTTCTAATGCAATTAACATGTTTCCAAATATTGAACCAACCTGTGATTGAATGGTTAGGAGGATAATGAGTGAACATATCAGCAAGATTGTCACAGGACTTAGTATGCAAAACTCTCAGCACGTTCAATTATTGGAGCTCATGTGCATAAAAGAACTTGGGACTAATATGCTTTGTGAGGTTACTCTTCACATAACCCATCTGGACTTGTGCAACACAAGCAGCATTATCTTCATAGATAATGGTAGGGGTTTGTACGGTGTTCAGCCCACATGTCTGCTGAATGTGGCCGATCATCCGCCGAAGCGATACACACTCTTTTATGCTTTGAATAGTACCATGATTTCCGAGTGGTTCATGGAAGTCAACACAAGTGTTTGCTTGGACGATTTTTAGGAAAACGCAGTTCCACCACAAAGGAAAACATATCCAGTCTGCGATTTGCAATCATGCGAGTCCGATAGGTACCCAGCATCGGCATAGCCTATAATAGATAGGTCTTGATTTCTTTTATAAAATAGGCCAAGATCTTTGGTCCCTTGCAGGTAACGGAAGACGTCCTTGACACCTTTCCAATGTCTCTTGGTAGGTTCAGAACTGTACCGAGCAAGCAAACTGACGATGAACGCAATGTCTGACCGTCTACAATTTGCGAGGTACATGAGTGCTCCAACTGCACTCAGGTAAGGAACCTCTGGTCCCAGAGTTTCCTCCCCCTCTTCCTTTGGCCTGAACGGGTCCTTGTCTGGCTGTAAAGATCTTCCGACCCTTGGGGTCTTAGAAGGATATGCCTTATCAAATCCAAATCTCTCCAACACCTTCTGGGTGTAGGCCGACTGGTGCACTAGAATCCCATCAGGGGAATGTTCAAGTTGCAGACCTAGACAGAACTTGGTTTTACCCAAATCCTTCATCTCGAATTTCGAAATCAGGTAGGAACTCGCTTCCTCAATATCCTCAAGCGTACCGATTATGTTTAAATCATCCACGTACACCGAGATTATACATAATCCATCTTGGGATCGCCGTATAAAAACACACGGGCAATCTTTATTGCTCGTGTAGCCCTTCTCATGAAGGAAATCACTTAAGCGATTGTACCACATTCTACCAGACTGTCTGAGTCCGTACAATGCCTTTTGAAGTTGAACACTGTATAGACCCCTGTTTGCTCTATCATGGTTCGGAACAGGGATACCTTCTGGAACCTTCATGTATATGTTCGAATCCAAGTTACCATACTGGTAAGCAGTGACAACAACCATTAGTTTCATTTTCAAGCCCATGTTTACTGCCATCGAGATCAAGTATCTAAAGGTAACTCCATCCATGACCGGGGAATAAGTCTCCTCAAAATCGACACCTGGTCGTTGAGTGAACCCTTGAGCGACGAGCCTTGCTTTGTACCGTACTACCTTATTATTTTCATCTCTCTTTCGAACAAAAACCCACCTATGGCTAACATGGCGAATGTGGGGAGGAGTTCGACAAACTGGTCCGAACACCTTCCTTTTGTTGAGAGATAATAATTTGGCAGTAATTGCCTGCTGCCAATCTTTCCAATCCGACCTTTTCTTGCAATCAGCGAGCGTATTAGGCTCAGGGTCAAGATCTATGATTGAGGCAATTTTCGTAGCAAAGTTAATGTCGACAATCACCGTTGTTCGGTTCAGGGACTCCCCCGTATAAATATAATTTATGGCCATTTCGTCATGGAGCGCATCTGGCGCTAACACTTGCTCTACCAAATTTCCCATTATGGGAGCAAGGTCATTTAGATTTCCCGCACCGACGTGTGCGCACACATCTCCGCTAGGTGTTTCCCCTATGGGAAAGTTTAAGTCCGGAATTTCGTGCACTAAATTTTTCGTACTTGTGCCAGGTCTCGACTGGCTCCCAGTTTCACTTTGGGGTACTTTGGCGACAGGCTGTAATAAATCTTTCTTATCGTTTTTCGTCGGGCGTCCCCGAGTACTTGGGATTTAAGAAGCCAGATCTCTCGTCCTTTTAGGCCTTTGGACGGGAGCGGGTATACCATCATTTTTCTTTGGTATATCAACACTTTCCGGTGCATTGCGCGCATGCACATGTGATTTTGTCACGATCTTTAAGTCACTAAAGTGGCCAGGCAGTTGATTTGCTAATGACTGCAAATCTATTATCTTTTGGACTTCTCTCTCAGTCTCAGCAGTGCGCGGGTCATGAGCGTGGATTCCCGTGGCTTGCCACGTGATTTCTCGACTTTTAGCATCAAGGGGTTGATTCTATCCCCCTAAAGTCGGGAAAAAAATCCTCGTCAAAAATGCAATCAGCAAAACGAGCCGTGTGACAGTCACCTGTCATGGGGTCCAGATACCTGATTATGGACATAATCTCATAACCAACGTATATCCCCAACTTACGGAGCGGGCCCATCGCCGATCGCCGAGGTGGTGGTACTGGTACATATACCTGGCAACCGAACCTATGAAGGTGGGAAATTTTCGGTGCCGACCCTTGCGCAAGCTGAACAGGAGAGTGGATGTTGAAGGCCGATGGTCGAAAGTTGATGAGATTGGACGCGTGTAACACTGCGTGGCTCCAACATGTAGTTGGTAAATCACAACTCTGAAGGAGTGGTCAGTCAATGAATTTAATTCTTTTAATCAATGCCTCGGCAAGTCCATTTTGTGTATGAACATGCGGTACCGAGTGCTCAACTTTGATTCCCATTGCCATGCAAGAATCATCGAACGCCTTTGAAGTAAATTCTCCGGTGTTGTCCATTCGAATAGACTTTATACGATAATTAGGGAAATTATTCCTCATTTGTATGATCTGAGAGATCAGCTTTGCAAAGGCATGGTTCTGTGTTAACAGCAGGCAAACATTAGACCATTTAGAGGAAGCATCAATGAGCACCATGAAGTACCGAAACGGCCCCGTGAGGGGCTGAATTGGACCGCATATGTCCCCTTGGATATGCTCCAAGAACGCAGGGATTTCATCCCTCACCTTGAGGGGCGATGGCCTAATGACTAACTACCCCTTAGCGCATGCGGAGCACACGAAATCATTGGGATTCGGGAAGTTCTTCACGTTAACATTATGACCATGCGAGTTGTTTATTATATTTCTCACCATCCTAAGTCTGGGGTGGCCTAACCTATCGTGCTAGAGGCAGAAGAGTTCAGAGCTTCAAAAAACGGTCTTGAGGGTAGCGTACACGGGCGGTGCT